GTGGTACACAGTGTTAACACAGTGTAAACACAGTGGTAAACACGGTGGTACACACAGTGGTAAACACAGCGGTAAAGACAGTGTTAACACAGCGGTAAACACAGTGTTAACACAGTGGTACACACAGTGTTAAACACAGTGGTACACACAGTGGTAAACACAGTGGTGCACACAGTGTAAACACAGTGGTGCACACAGTGTAAACACAGTGGTGCACACAGTGTAAACACAGTGGTGCACACAGTGTAAACACAGTGTAAACACAGTGGTGCACACAGTGTAAACACAGTGTAAACACAGTGATGCACACAGTGTAAACACAGTGGTAAACACAGTGGTACACACAGTGGTAAACACAGTGGTACACACAGCGGTAAAGACAGTGGTAAACACAGTGTTAACACAGTGGTAAACACAATGGTAAACAATGTTAACACAGTGGTACACAAAGTGGTAAAGACAGTGGTACACCCAGTGTTAACACAGTGGTACATACAGTGTCAACACAGTGTTAACACAGTGGTAAACACAGTGGTAACACAGTGGTACACGCAGTGGTACACAGTGTTAACACAGTGGTAAACACAGTGGTACACACAGTAGTAAACACAGTGGTACACCCAGTGTTAACACAGTGGTATACAGTGTTAACACAGTAGTAAACACAGTGGTACAAAATAGCATCTGAAAAGTTTGACAAGACAAAAGTACAAATTAGCTCTCCCTCCTAAGGACAGCTAGATGTCAGGTGGGGTTATAATCTGTTTTTGATCAATCAYGATGAGGTTCATAAATAAAAAATGCTGTGAAGTGAGAGAGGAGCAGAGATCCACTGGATTAACAAACTCTTTAGTTAACTGAGTTACAACGATATTTAATTTCCCATTTGGATGAATAAAATATTTTTGAATTCAAATGAAATATAAACATAAGTTTACCACATGATGAAATGTATGACGACACAAACAGTCAGATTAAAAAGAACAGTCTTTGTTCATTTCAACAAGCCAGACAAGAAGTCTTAATCAGGTCATCTGTTGTAAACAATAAYCTGACCGTTTGGATTAAAAAGTTCGGAAACACAAAAATGTCTCAGGTAAAGTCAGCTGCTGAGCTGAGAGTCACATTCACTCTCATCTTTATCATCCAGGAAGTCAATAAATACAATTATAATGTAAGAGATTTACACTAAATTTACTTTAATAGTTATAAAATATAAAGTAAATGACTGTTTCATATTTATAAATGAAGTACAGGCAGATCTGGAAGCATCTGAATAAAGCATTAAACTTATATTTACACCGTACCATAAAATGTATAACTTATTATTTTAGCTTTGTTCAATGTTTCCAACACTGATAACATTTTATTAATAAAATAATTTAATCCACCCTATGATGAAGACCCATTTAGTGAAATAAGTTGCACTGTATAACATACAACTTAACAAAAGTACAGCTGAATGTATTGATTTGTTTTATTAAATAATTTTGTTTCTTTTTTTTAGGAGAAAATTCAACAGAAACATTTTAATTGAGCAAATGACGTTTTTCTTTTAGGTCTGAGAGATTCTGTCTCATAAATATGACTGAAGTATAATTATAGATACATGTATACATCTACTGAGTTTAAGATGATACGAGTACAAGAACAGACATGCTCTCCTGAGTGTCTGAGTTAAAATCAGATTTAGGGCTGCAACTAACGATTCTTATAATAATCCATTAATCACTGTTTTTTTAGATTAATCGGAAAACAAAAAATAACAGCCACAAAACATTTTTAATTTTGTCCTCTTTATTTCAAAATAGGAAATTTGGACTGCAAATCACACGAAAACTGTTTGCTGTTTGAGAAGTCTGTTACCATAATATTAAACTGTGATGCATTAATAAGTAGCCATGCAAGCCTGAACACGCCACATCTCGTCTGAGCTTGGAAGCTAAGCAGGGTCAGTTCTGGGTAGAACTTGGATGGGTCTTGGAATTCCAGGTACTGATATAGGAGCTGCGCCCACATTGGTCACTAGCAATAGAAAGCCTTTGACCATAATGGTCAACTTCAATGAAGGATGCCCAATCAATCATAAATAAGTAAATATTTGTCAGTTTCATTATAAAATTAAATACACACAAATGTGTACTACATCCTTGAGAGAAGCTCTGTAAATTGTGTCCTTGTTTTATTTGCAGTATTAGGTTAAGGCAAGTGTCTTCACTCAGACATTGGGCCTCATGCAAAAACCGTTGGTACGCACAGATTTGTTCTTAAGTTGTGCGTACGAGTGATTTAGGAGAATTTGTGGCATGGGGGGGCTCCTTTTATTCCACAGCTGACCTGCTAAAAATAAAAATGACAGATTTTCTTTTCTGGATCTCTGACAGACGGACTTCAATCTCTGAACTCGTAAAGTTCTTCTT